TGTATTAAAAATTCAAACTTAAATGTATTTCTTAGAGCTTCTGAACTTCTGTTTTGATACTGTTTCTAGTTTGTTTTCTTGCAGAGTATCCATGTTGTCCACATAGTGCAATGCTGTAAGTCTAGAATTTAATTTTTCTTAATCCTTAGAACTAAAATACTTAGGGAAGATTTTCTAACAGGCTGTTAATGCTGTTTCTCAGTGCTTAAGCTGCTTAATTCTGTAAGTATTAGTTGTTAGTTAAGGTTTTCAAGATCTTGTTTATATTTCATGTAACTGATTTTTATCTTTATAGATATTCTTTGTTCCTTCCAGTTGGTCCTTTAAAATATAGTACTTTCTTTCTTGTAATAACAAATAAACAGACCTCCTTGTCTTTGGAAAGTGAACACACAGCTTTATTGTCCCAGTGACTTTGTTTTTCTCATTCATAATTGTGGCTTAAATGTTCTTCAAGTGTAATTTTTTGCTTTCTCAAAGTACTAGAGCAAAACTATTATTTACTCAGGTAGCAAATTGTGCGGGTGGTGAAGTAGTTTTTATTCAGGTTTACTTTCTTAATTAGATTTGCCTCCTTTTTGAGTTCATCCCTTACTGTTTCTGCTTTCAGTTTTGCCCTTCTGTTCCTTCAGTTCTGGGTGTATATTGTATGACTCTTTCCAAGTTTGTTAATTGGTAAAATAAATTATCCTGTCATTTTATTTATACTGGAAAAACAACAGTTTGAAAAATCGCACATCTGCACTCACATTCCTTACCATAGTTTTATGGAGAGGGGGTGGGGAACTCGACTTTTGCTTCGAGTCTTTCTAGTTCCAGTTGTTCTGGTAACAGCTGGGAAAAGTGTTAAAGGGTATGTTGCAAGTTCCCAGTAAATTGTTGCAAGTTCTTAGTAAATTGACCAGACTTGTGCATATTCTGACATAGAGCTAATATGTTTTTTATTATTTGAGCATTTTAGGAATGAGCAGATACTGACCACAGCCAAGAAACACTGGAGTTTTTACTTCATGGCTAATTCTTTGCTATGGAAACTGTCTACACAGATAGGAAATCTTAAGAAACCTTTGCTATGCTAGTGTTAGTATTTACAGTTTGAAATACTACAGGGAAAAATTAAATTACTGGAAAATACAGCTTAACAATGAACATGAGACTTCTTATGGGTAGTGTTCATTAAACTTTTATGATTAGGTTTACAGTTATGGTGTCTGCTTTTTTTAGTACTAAGTGCCATTTGTCATGAGAAACATGGAAAACCAAGAAAATGTGTACAGTTGTTTTAAGTTTAAAGGTTGCATTGCATCCTATTATCTTCATTTCAACTGTACCAAACTTATGCTAAGTCTAATAGACCACTGCTGTGAAAATGTTTCTGTTTTCTCTCGTGGATCAACTTAGGATTTTAAAAGCAACTTAAAAAACTAAGAGAATACTTCCAGTAAACATTCATGTCTAACAGTAGTCCTTTCTTATAGCTTGCTAGAATGGGTTTTTAATTTCATTCTTGAGGCTTGTTAAAAGATTGTACTTGTTCTCTTTGTTTTGGTTTATCTACCTGAGTCCATGTATTCCTATTTTGTAATACTGTATTTACTCTTGCATATTTAAGAAACAAGGTTTTAAGTTAATGTGGAATTTTTACAAATAGCATGTTAAGCTTTGGGAAACAAACTTGGAGGTAGTAGTAGTGTTTTGTCATGTAAGTGTGTTTTTTCCATACTTACGTAAATTGTGGCGTTACATACGTTTGAGGGCACAAGTGGACATACTGTTTGTTTATTACTTAAGGAATAGTGGTACTGTACTTGTATAGTGTGGTACTGCAATTTTGAGCCGAACTCAAAAGTTTGTGACAAATGCTGTTTCTGCTGTTCTGACTGGGGTGTCAGTTATGAACAGATGTGAATGGTTGAATATCTGCTGGCATTCACCAGAGTCCATAAAAGAATACTTTGGTGTGTGTAGGCACAGCAGCAAAACATTCAGTGTCTGGAACCTAATGCAAAAGGAAGTTGAATTCAGATATGGAAAGTCTTACCTGTGTGTAAGCTGTCTTTTTTTCTTCCAAAGCTTCCTAGCTAAAGTTTCTCACCAGCCAATAGGAGGAAAAACTCAGTGAAGAATCTGCCTTCCTTTTCTTTCTTTGGAAAGCAGTTAGTTTCTGTCTGTTTGTAAATGTGGATTTTGTGTGTGCCTTTCTGTAACTGATCTTGTTCTTGTTCTAGTCATGCTGATAAACAGTTGTCTTTGTTTGGGTTCTTTCAACAGATACTTCCAAGTACAGAGGTGGGGTCATTGCTGACAATGACAATCCTTGAAGTTCCTAATCAGTACAGTAGGAAAGATTCTGTTCTAAGTGGTATATGGGTGGGAAAGAGGACAGAAGTCTGAATTTGAGGAAAAAACAGTATTTTTTTATTCAGTAAGTAAAAAATATATTTGTCCAAAGTTCTCCCAGGAGAAAAAGAACCTGAAGGCATTTTATTCATAGAAGAGAATAGATTTTTCAGGTCAAAGTGAAGTTTCTGTGAATGTGAACTGCTGTAAGTCACACATATTAAATATTTTTATTTTTTTTTTTTTCTAAGTAGTGACACTGGAGCTTCCTAAATGTGTATTGGTTATTTTTAAAATCCCACTGATCCCATATGTACTTCTCACTTGATTGTGTCACTGCATACATAAATTTTGTCTTTTTTATCTATACTTTCCTGATGTTTAAGCCCTGTTTTTGTTTCAGAGTTCAAGTAAACAGTTTTCATTTACTGAGTGCTACTTGCTGTCTTCTCCAAACTTTAGTAAGGGTATATTGTGAGATGATTGGAACTGAGTGACTAGTAGCTCAAACATAGCTGCCAGAAGATTTCAGTAGCATGTTGTGCTATAACACAGTGTCATTATTCAGGTACTCAATAAAATAGTATCTCTGTTGCTTTTTGCTTTGTCTTACTACCTGTAGATATATCTGTCATATGAGTTTTGTGGATTTTACAGTTACAAATGTTCATAATTATTATAGCAGAATTATATAATAGTCGTTTAAAGGGAAAGCTACATGACATAAAGGTAAAAACATGAATGTTAGCTTTGCAGCACACGAAGTGGAAACAAAACCAAGTAAAGTTTAGGAACTGTAGAGAGTTATGTCATATGAGACTGTCTTTTGGATAGTGGCTCAATCCCAAACACCTGTCTTTGATAGAATTCCTGTTATGCAGATATTTATAACTATGATCTGAAAATCATAAAACATTCTCCGGATAAAACTTTTGTAAGTAGTTAAGGATATGGGTTTTTTGCTTGGCCATTGGTTTATGTAAAGGTGCAGCCACTTATGATTTGTTGTCATTCATGTTTCTTTAAACAAACAAACAAAAATCTTGGTAAAAAATTAAGGCATACTCTAGATATCTGCATGACAGAATAATGACAATGAAATGCCTGGAGATAGAATTCCAGGTGTAGCCCCAACCTGCCTTATTTATAATAGCAAACTGGTATGTTAGATTTAATAGAAGGCATAAACCAAAGCAAAATTAACTTGTTTAAAATGTCTGCAGTTGCATTGGTGGGCTTTCAGTCAACTGTTCAGGAGCAGACTTGATGATTTCAGGCTACAGACTCAGAGCCTCATGCTGTTAATAGCAGTGGGTTTAGTATTTGAGTAAACCGCATATTGTAACTTACTACCTAAGACCTCAGAATGATCTCCTTGACTGCAGGGAGGCATACTGGAAAGTGACAGAGCCATACTTGTACTAGTAAAAGTACAATTTTGCCATTACAGTTGAACAGTGCTGTTTGGTACAGTTATACTAAATATAAAACACAAGTGCTCTAGCTAAAGTACCAGTAATTACATGATGGAAAAGTAATTTAAGATGTATAACGCTCAGCAATGTTTCAGAAGGAAGAATTAATACTTTTAATAGCACTTGGTTTTAGGCAGTAGACTTACTTGAATTTTCTCTTTCCTGTTCTTACTGTGATGTCATCTAGTACTAGCTGAAAGATTCTTTATTTGCTTATACACAGTATCAGAAAGGAACTTCACTGTTTTACGCTAGCATCTTTTTACTTTTTGCAGCAGGACATCTCCCCCCGCCCCGTGTGTACTGTTTTTGTCATGTCCATATCATTCTTTTTCTCCAGCACATGCAAACTATACAGGCTCTGCTATCACTGAAGAATTACCTTATACAGAGGATTTAAGAAGGCAGTGGTGTTAAACTGAAAAGTTAATATTTCAAATCTTAAAAGCTTTCTTTCTTATACCGGGATTTTAGTTGTGCTGTCAAATATCTTTGTCTTAATTCTGCTAAATGAGTTTCAACTTGGAAAGGAATTGGAGCTTTTTAGAAATTAATCATTACTCTTTCTGATTTTTGTATATTTTGTGATAGTATACACTAACAGTGGAAGAAGAAAGCGATCTCTCATAAACCCTCACAATTTGCAGGTGGTATTATGTAAAATACTGTGTAAAAAGTCAGAAAGTTTCAGTGACAAGTTGGTGTCTGAAATATGTTGCTGTTTAACTTAGTGGAAATAGAGCAAATGCATGAAATAATTTTAACATTTAAAATGTGCCTAGTTGAAAAGCCTAGTTTTAATCTTTGTTACTCTGTCATTTTACTTGTAATACTGACTTACATGGAGCAAGCCGGGGTTGTGTGTGTGTCAAAACCTTGAGCTGTATTACATTCTAATAAAAAAGTAATCCAGTGCTTGTAAATTTACAAATTTACTTAATTTTTTTTTTTTTTTTTGAGAGGGAGAAAACTCATGGAGGCTTTTTTTCCAGATTAGTCAAATTCTTGGTCTGTTTAGATGGTAATTACAATTTCAAACGGATACTAGGTCAGATGTTTATACCATGTTTCTTACATGCCCAAAGCACATTAAAAAATTCATACTTTTAAAAAATGTTAACTGTGAATTGCTTCTTACTGTTAGAGGAGTCCTAATCATTACTGTCGTTGGTTTTACTTTTCAAGGTACCCAGAGAATGGCATAGTAGAAATGGACACCAGTAATCTTCGACCCCGAGCAAGAACCATTCTGAAGTGGAGTGAACTGAAAGTGGGTGATGTGGTGATGGTTAACTACAATGTTGAGACTCCAGAAGAAAGAGGATTTTGGTTTGATGCAGAAATTACCTCTTTGAGAGAAATCTCAAGGACTAACAAAGAGGTTCATGCTAAAATTCTGCTGGGGTAAGATTTGTTTGACCAACTCATAAAATCTCTACGTATCATATAAAGTATGTTTGTTATTGGTTTTTGTCTACTAGTCACTAGATTAAAATTAATGTAATTGATTTCACAGCTTTTTGAGTTACAGAATTACAGTGCATGTGTTTTTACGGTGTGCAGACTTAGCTGTGAGTCAGAGTTTTTACATTTTGTGAGACTGCCAGAGGCAATGGTAAGGTTTCATGTATTATCTGTGATTAAAATTGATCAGAATATGTTTTTATTTATATTCCTTTATATGCTATATATTAACACATTTATGTTTATAAATCTATGTTCAGTTCTGTTGGAAGCTGAAAAATCTGGTTTTAGTAATTCTTGAGATAATTTGGAACCCTTAGGTCTCACTGAGTATTAGTCATTTCTGACAACTTGGGTCAGTCTCTGAACTGGCTAATTGAATTTTTAAAGAATAAAATATTTCTGTGGGTATTACGGTTTCTGATAAGTAAAATGTGGAACTGTGCGATGTGGAAATTGGGAGTTTTCATGTGGCTGAACTGACTTGAGTATCTTTGCTTTGTCTTCCTATTTTATTTTAAAAATTCTGTACAGTTCTGTATTGTTTTCTGCAGAAATCATGTGATATCTTACTGTCAGTAAGCTGTGTGATTGCCTTCTTGGGTATGAACAGGTGACCAAACTTCATTGGCAGTATTCTTGAGGAAGAATGTAACCTTCCTCCTCCTTCTCACTAATTTTCCTCATTCTTTTTAACATTATACTTTTCTGACACAAAAGAACTCCAAAGCAAATGGATCCTGTCTGCTGCTTTCATCCTTGCAGAAGAGTGGGGTTTATTGGGTACTTAGGAGTGAAACTGATTTTAAAATTAAACTGGAACTTAAGTGAAATTTCCTTACTAGAAATGATTGATTTAATGTTGGCATGTCCCACATTTATTCCATGAGTAGTATCATTGTTCTGGGAATGTGTTCCTTAAAATGAATTTGACTATTGGCATGTTAGCGTAAGTTTCTTTATCAGAAAGGTGAATTGGTTTATCTGTAGGAAGACCGACAGTGTAGAATGGGGTTAGTTGGAAGACACATAGATGACTCTATGATCAGGTGCAATTCAGTATTTTGTGTTTAAAAAAAAAAAAAGGCAATCATACATGGTACTGGGATACAGGAAAGACATTAACTTGGCAAATCATACCGGTAAATGAAAATCTGTTTTGTGGATGGTTTTTAAATATAGAGTAACAGAGTATTCTATGTAGAGATCAGTTTTATTAGATAATATCAATGCATGATGGTAGTCTTATATTATAGAGCAGTCATATGGACTTGTTTTGTAGGCAAAGAAAAAAAAAAAACCAGAAAACCAAAACCCACCAAACTCAAACCAACCAAACTTCAAATGTAAAGTAAGAAGAAATTGAGTAGGTGGCTTGAATTACTAACTTGGTAGGGAGAAGAGATTGAGAAATGGAAGCCAGTTTAGAGAGATGATGTGGCACATTCGATATTTGTCTGGCATTCAGTGAATCAGAGATGGACTTATTTCCTTCTACAAGCAGAACTGTCCAGATCTGAGTTTACACGAAATTCAAATATTTATTGATAATGTTATTTAAAACTCTACTCTGCATGGGTCCTTTCAAGAGTTTTTCCCATTTATTAAAAAACGATAATGAAAATAGGGTTTATATTGGCAAAAGCAAGCACCTGGTGGCTAATAAAAAATCTTCTCTGTTTGGAAATCTGTAGGATAGTCTTTTCTTAATCCAAATCAGCTGATATTTACGTTTCAAATCTGAAGATGCTAACTTCAAATATTGTGGGTACTGTAGCATGTACCATGAGCTTCACCATAGTATTGACAAGTATCTTGTTCTCAGATGGTTCATTTAAGTCCATTTTTTAAGTGGAATCTTATTTCATTGAATTTTCTTCATGCTTGAGAGTTTAGGCTTTATTTACATGTTAATAGATTGTAGTAACAAACTAGTTTGCAGGAAGCAAGGTTAACTGAGCCCTGCCATTTCTGAAATTTATCAAGGAATAAATCTGTATCACCTGTGCTACCTAAGTTACCCCTTTCAGTTAGCAGTAAAAAGTACAAGATAAATTTGCTAGTATTCATTAACTCATGTAAGGAACATGCTGCAGCAAGAATCACTTTACATTTTAGGTATGGTGGTTTGCAAAATAAAAACCAATCTCTTAGTGTTTCAATGTTTATTAATATATATTAATATACTAATATAGTATA